CATGACCAACTGAGCCTCTGTTTTGTCGTCGTGGGAAAACACCCCGCCAGATTATGCATTCTGAGTCTACGTGTGTGCTGTCTTCTCACGACTTGTGGACCCTACCTTAACTGATCCCCAGAAAGTCCACTGGATTGCTTATACTAGGCATCGTGGGTATTTTCGAGCCACTGTCTTTAAGATAAATGTTTAACCATGCACGCAAGGGCGACATTAAATTTACACTGCCCAGGATTATCTTAACGGTCAAAGCGTGTAAAAAAAGCGAGGAGCCACGTATATTGGAATCGCGTCGAGCCAGGCGCTGCGAAACATCCGACTGCCTCCCGCCCGTCGACTCTGGCAGCCTTGTTTCACGCCACCCCTTCCCCCCCCTATATAAGCACTCACATGTCTCCCATGACATCATAGCCCCACCAATCAACAGCAAAACCTTTTTTCCCACCTACCCCTACAGCCTCGACATGGGTGACTTCGTCCATCATCCCGCTCGTGACTCAAGCCCTGCCAACGACCTCGGTGCAACCGTACTGCAGGATACTCCCAAGACAGCCGAAGAACAGCGCTTTCACGAGGAAGTTACTCCGGAGAAGACCGCGCAGGTCGTAATCCAGTACCGTCGGAAGCACCCGTCAGGAGCATGCGGCGGCGCTGATGCCCAAGGGGACTCGTCTTCTGAGAGCGAGGGAAGCTCTGACGATGACGTGCAGCCATACGCCGCATCTGGTGGTGTGTCTTCTCCGAAGCCACGTAGGCGGAAAACGAAACGGTTGTCGGAGTGTCAGCCGAAGCCAACAACCAAGAAAGGTTAGTCAGCTGGTATACATGCAGTGTGTTTCGTCCTGCACCCCTGCATATATTCCTTAGGCACAGCTGTCGTCACGTTTTGCTACCAATTTTCACCGGCTCCAAACCACTGCGACGATCTGTGTTGCTTTCTCTTGCTAGGTGTTCCCGCAGCTAAGCTACCTTGTAATGGTGGCATTTCTGCAGCAGGTGCACCCAAGGTGGATGATGGCGGAGATACTGTCGAGACGAAGGACGGTGCATCGAACAAGCCCAGGGACCAGACGAACCTTGCAGCGGCGAATAAGGGTGTACTTCAGGGTGAACTTGCCGCTGGGGACGTCTTGCGCCGTAACGAGAAGGGGAACAATGAGCCCAAAACGAAGCGCCAGCGTAGGGGGCAGCGTGGTAAGCACATGAAGTACACTCAGGCGAAATCCGAGAGCGAGAGTAGTTCTGAGGAGGATTCTGGCGAATCTTCAGGCAGCGAGGAGGTTTATGAGGAATACGTGGACGAGAGTGAGGAGGTCGAGCTCGAGCCTGAGAGTGATGATGAGGGAAGACAGGTTAGTCGGCGGGGTGGGGTGAGTCGTAGGCACGGCGGCAAGCACAGTAACCGTGCGGATGGTAAAAAGAAGAGAAGCGGGAAGGGGCATAACAGGGGTAGCTCCCGTGACCATGCGCATGCAAGGCGTGTAGACCGTAAGGAGAGGTTGCGGGTGTCCATGGACCGTCCACCGCTGAGGCATGAAACCGGTTTTTACAACGAGATGAGAGCTCTTGAGACGGCGAATGACGGTACACTGGAGGAGCGTAAGGAGAGGTATAGGTTGAAACGCGCAGCTCAAGATGACCCTTATGCAGCGCTCGCTTCACCCTCTACTGCCGATGGTCGTTTGTCGAGGGGCCACACGCGTGTGGCTGAGGATGGGGGAAGACGGGTGTTGGAGGTGCAGGAGGCGAAGAGGTGGGATGGCACGGCATGTCCTCAGAGGGGGGCGGGGGCGTTCTCTGGTGGCGCGCACATGAACACGAGTGCGAAGGGGTACGACCGCGAACACAGACCTTGGCTAGCTGGCAGCAACCACGCGGCTGCCGAAACTGGGGAGCATGGCGTCTGGGCAAATGCAGCTGGAGACTATGCTGGCCAGAATGACGAAGCAGCCCACCAAGGCCCTGGTAGCAGTCCTGCTGGTGTAGCCTCGCTGCAGCCCCAGTCCAAACCCTCCTCAGCAGCTGACAAGGAGGGCAACCGAAGCCGTCTTGGTGCCCACAACTTTGGCACTAGTGATGCTCTTGGTTGTGATGCATCGGTAGGCGATGCGGATGGCCATGATAGCGTGACCATTCAGCAGTTGTTCCGTGCTTTGCAGGACGCCAAAAAGCAAATTGCAGAGCTGAAGTCGCGCAAGGGGTCAGCAACGGACAACGGGGGACCTCGTGCACAGGTTCCTCCCTTGGCGGAAATGTCCAGTGGTCCTCCTTCACGGGAGGCCTCGGCCGGTTTCGTTGCTGAGAGTGGGGTCCAGGGTGAACCCATTGTACGCAAGCATGGGATGCCCACCTCTGATAACATGAAGGTAAGGTCCCCCATGCATGGTCAAAACTCTGCCGTGTTGTTCACTGGCCTGATTTCAAGCACCCGTTGTGTCTCGTTACGCCTCAGTTTCATCATTTCAATTTATTTTTTTAATGGTCCCATATGCCTACTTCCTGCACATCCATCAGCTCTGCATTTCCCTCAGCCTTGAATTTCCCTCAGCCCTGCATTTTCCTCAGCCCTACATTTCCATAAGCTCTGCATTTCCCTTAGCTATGCATTTCCCTCAGCTCTGCACTCCCCTCAGCCTTGAATTTCCGTCAGCCCTGCATTTTCCTCTGCCCTCCATTTTCCTCAGCCCTACATTTCCATAAGCTCTGCATTTCCCTTTGCTATGCATTTCCCTCAGCTCTGCACTTCCCTCAGCCTTGAATTTCCCTCAGCTCTGCACTTCCCTCAGCCTAGAACTTCCCTCAGCTCTGCACTTCCCTCAGCCTTGCTTTTTCCTCAGCCATGCATTTCCCTCATCACTGCATTTCCCTCGGCTCTGCATTTCCCTAAGCCCATCCTTCATCATAGCAGTTCCCTTATCCCTGCATTTCCCTCGGCTATGCACTTCCCTCAGCTCTGCACTTCCCGCAGCCCTGCATTTCCATAAGCTCTGCATTACCCTTTGCTCTGCGTTTCCCTCAGCTCTGGACTTCCCTAGAGCCCTGCATCTCTCCCAGGTCTGCATTTTCCCAGCTTTGCATTCCCCCCAGCTCTGCATTTCACTCAGTCCTGCCTTGCCCCCTGCATTGCTTTACCCTCAACTCTGCGCCACCTTCAGCTCTGCATTTCCCCCGGCTCTGCTTTTCGCTCGGCCGCATTTCCCCCAGCTCTGCGTTCCCCCAAGACTTTCTTTTCCCAGAGCTCCTCACTGCGTTGATTACTTGTTGTTTTCTGTCGCTACTTTCACTCCATCATTGTTCTGTCTTGTCACACATTCCCCCCTTGTCATCCCTCCCCTCTCCACCCTCTTCTCCACCCCCAACCCACCACCCGCCCACTTCCCACTCTCCCACTCCCTCTCCTCTCCCCTATACAGTTCCACTTTGATGTCTCCAGGGACCGCCTCTGCATGGACGCCCCGGATGCTGCCCTCAACTTCTACCCCACGCATGACTTGCGTGAGCAAGTTCTGCATGGGGTAATTTCCGAGGGTTACATAGTTTCCTTCATCCAGTTTAAGGAGACAATGAAGGACCAGAAGCTCGTCGACCGTTTCAAGCGTGCGTATACACAGTGGAAGAACGAGCGAGCATTTCAGATCAAGCGCTCGGTGCTCGAATCCTTCGGAGTTCCTGTGGAGGGTCTGCGAGCCGCGGAAATCTACTTGGAAGTCGGGCTCAAGGCTGACCTGTGGGCTGACTTCTCACCAAGTAAGGGTTACATGCTTTAACAATAGTGTTTTGAATTTGAAGGCTGCTCTAGCAACTGTGCCCCCCCTCTCCCAACCTTGTGTGCAGAGGCAAACCAACCCCTTAGCACTTGGGGCTTGGATGAGGAGAGCGGCATGTCATTCGCCAACAAGCGCTTCTGGGATGCTGCATGGGCAGCGTTCCGTGACTACTCCAGTGATGGCAAGCTCTGTTTGAAGGCTTACCACATTGCGTGGATTATCATGGTGGTGAGTATCAGCCAGTAGATATTGTGAACGCCCGCCTCTTAATGTTTCCAGGGCTTTGCCACTACAGACTCTGTTAGTGTCCAAAACCCTTTCCACCGCCCCCTGTCTCCCACCTCAGGCCATGTGATCCATTTCATTGGACGCCGATCAAGAGGGGCGGATATGGGAGGGTTTGTTCTTGCTGCTGAGTTGCTATCATCATGTGGTGACCAAAAGTTGTGTCATCCCCCCTGCCATTCCACCCCATGTCTTACAGGTGGACTATGGCCTGTCCAAGGTAAAGAAGTCCACCATGAATCTCTCAAACTCCCACCGAAAGAACACGAGGTGGGTGACGAGTGTGCGGGAAGTGGTGCGGAGGGTGGTGCGAGACCACTTTACCCGTCACAATCCTATCTACTGTTCCAAAATGAGGGGTTTCCAGTGGGGGATTGGGGGCTTTACGTCCATGAATCTGGATTTGAGGAGTACCGGGGAGCTGCCCTAAACCCTACCAGCTGTGACTAAGACTGGAGCTGCCAGGAAGCAGTGACTCCAGGAGGGCTAGGAAGGCTAGCAGTGACTAAAGGCAGGGCAGAGAAGGCAGGGCAGAGAAGGCAGGGCAGAGAAGGCAGGGAGAAGGCAGGGCAGAGAAGGCAGGGCAGAGAAGGCAGGGCAGAGAAGGCAGGGCAGAGAAGGCAGGGCAGAGAAGGCAGGGCAGAGAAGGCAGGGCAGAGAAGGCAGGGCAGAGAAGGCAGGGCAGAGAAGGCAGGGCAGAGAAGGCAGGGCAGAGAAGGCAGGGCAGAGAAGGCAGGGCAGAGAAGGCAGGGCAGAGAAGGCAGGGCAGAGAAGGCAGGGCAGAGAAGGCAGGGCAGAGAAGGCAGGGCAGAGAAGGCAGGGCAGAGAAGGCAGGGCAGAGAAGGCAGGGCAGAGAAGGCAGGGCAGAGGAGGCAGGGCAGAGAAGGCAGGGCAGAGAAGGCAGGGCAGAGAAGGCAGGGCAGAGAAGGCTTGGCAGAGAAGACAGGGCAGAGGAGGAGAGGAGGCAAGCGAGCGAAGGCATGGTGGAGGAGGCAGTAGTCAATGGCACCATCAGGAGGGCAGTCCAGAAAGCAGTCAGAGATCAGTCAACATAGCAGTCAGAGATCAGTCAAGGGAGCAGTAAGAGATCAGTCAGGGGAGCAGTGAAGGGAGCAGTCAGAGGACCAGTGAAGGGAGCAGTCATAGGACCAGTGAAGGGAGCAGTCAAGGGAGCAGTGAAGGGATCAGTCAGGGGAGCACTGAACGGACCACTCAGGGGAGCAGTCAGGGGAGCAGTCAAGGGGCCAACCAAGGGGTCAGGCAAGATATCAGGAAGGGGAGCAGGCACAGGGTGAGGCAAAGGAAGGCATTGATTGAGCCAAAGGGTGAGCCAAGAGGCACGGCGGTGGGCAAGGGAGGAGGCATGGCCGTGGGCAAGGGAGGAGGCATGGCCGTGGGCAAGGGAGGAGGCATGGCCGTGGGCAAGGGAGGAGGCACGGCAGTGGGCAAGGGAGGAGGCACGGCAGTGGGCAAGGGAGGAGGCACGGCAGTGGGCAAGGGAGGAGGCACGGCAGTGGGCGAGGGAGGAGGTACGGCAGTGGGCAAGGGAGGAGGCACGGCAGTGGGCAAGGGAGGAGGCACGGCAGTGGGCAAGGGAGGAGGCACGGCAGTGGGCAAGGGAGGAGGCACGGCAGTGGGCAAGGGAGGAGGCACGGCAGTGGGCAAGGGAGGAGGCATGGCCGTGGGCAAGGGAGGAGGCACGGCAGTGGGCAAGGGAGGAGGCACGGCAGTGGGCAAGGGAGGAGGCACGGCAGTGGGCAAGGGAGGAGGCACGGCAGTGGGCAAGGGAGGAGGCACGGCAGTGGGCAAGGGAGGAGGCACGGCAGTGGGCAAGGGAGGAGGCACGGCAGTGGGCAAGGGAGGAGGCACGGCAGTGGGCAAGGGAGGAGGCATGGCCGTGGGCAAGGGAGGAGGCACGGCAGTGGGCAAGGGAGGAGGCACGGCAGTGGGCAAGGGAGGAGGCACGGCAGTGGGCAAGGGAGGAGGTGTACATGAAGCAGCCAGAGGGGCTGGATGACGGGAGCGGCAGGGTCTGCAGGCTGAAGAAGGCCATCTATGGCCTTAAGCAGGCGCCTCGTGCATGGTATCACAAGTTGGAGGAGGCGCTGTTGGCTGGGGGTTTCAAGAAGAGTGAGTGTGACCCCAGCCTGTTCCTGCTGCAGGAGAAGGATGAAATCCTCATGCTCTTGGTGTATGTGGATGATATCCTTCTCTTTTCTGCATCAACTGCTTTGCTGGACAGCGCAGAGCAGATGCTGGAGATGCAGTTCAAGTGCTCCAAGATGGGTGAGGTGAAGTACTACTTGGGGATGCACGTGGAGAGAGATGTGGAAAAGGGTGTGCTGAGGTTGCACCAGAGGAAGTACTGTGAGGGGCTGGCTGAGAAGTATGGGCTGCAAGATGGGGGAAAGCCAGCAACACCACTACCTTCAGGGTTTACTGTGGAGCCATGTGCTGATGAGGAGGTAGTGGGTGATAGTGACAGGAAGCTGTTTCATTCGATGGTTGGGTCGCTGAATTATGCTGCAAATCATACACGGCCTGACATTGCATTTGCTACATCACGATTGGCTAGTGTGGTCTCACGCCCTAGTCATGAGCAGCTGGAAGCGGCCAAGAGGTTGGTCCGCTATGTGAGCGCTACGGCATCAGTGGGATTGGAGTACAGTGGAGTGAGGCAGCGGTTGCAGAGAGGTGCTGCAGATGTGAAGAGTGGAGAGATGCTCTTGAGTTGCTATACTGACGCTAGCTTCAACTCAGTGAAAGCGGATGGCACCAGCATTGGGGGTTATGTGTGCTTGCTAGGAGGTGGTGCTGTGAGCTGGCGCAGCAAGAAGCAGAATGAGGTGGGATTGTCCTCATGTGAGACTGAGTACATGGCCTTACACCATGGGGCCAAGGAAGTAGTGTGGCTAAGGCGTTTGTTGGAGGAGTTGGGAGTTGGTCAGGAGAAGCCGACAGTTGTGTTTTGTGACAATGAGTCCGCTGTGAAGCTCGCCAAGAATGCTTGTCTGCATGGGCTGACAAAACACATAAGGCCTAAGTGGCATTGGGTGAGGAGACTCCTTGATAAGGAGGTGCGGCTGGAGATAGTGAAGACCCATCAGCAGGCAGCAGATATTTTCACCAAGCGTCTGGCGGAGGCGGATCATTGGAAGGGCATGAAGCTTGCTGGGATGAGTGTGCATTGAGTATGCATGCTTGAGATGTTGGTATGGTGGATGATGGTTGGCAGCCAGAGGGGGAGATTGTTGTGTGATGTCATCATATGCTATCACATTCTGTCTGCCTCCCATCCCATATTTTTTCAACTTGCATGTGTGGTTTGAACGTGTGCAAGAATTTGTGTGTGATGTGTTCTGGAGTTTGGGAATGTGTTTTGTGTTATTTTGTTTGAGCAGGTTTTTTGTGATGATAGATCTTGAGAAGATCTTTCCGACGCAACGAGAATCCCTTCAATCGGAGCAAGAACGCGAAAGCTATGAAGATTCAAAGTTCATGAGCTTGCGTTACAATTGCGGCGGTTACAAAGTGAAGTTGTGGGGTGACTCTATATGGAGTTGGGACCTTTGGGGGTTTGGGAAATTTGTCACTCACTGTAACAGCTGCAAATTGGTTGGGAACAACCAAGCTAGGTTGGCAAGGGTGGCCAACTTGGATGGATTGGTTGGGAAGGGACAAATGTCAAAGTTGGGGTTCCTATAGGGAGGGAATCTTTGTGCTTATGGGGTTTCCTTGGTTGGGGACTCTCTTGGGACCTTCCCTCTCATCCCTCTCTTCCTATCCCAACCTTTCTCTTGCTCCTTCTAATTCCTTGTGAGATTCTTGAACTTTGATTGAACCTTTGAGATTGAGTTAAGTTCTCCTCCTACAGCTTACCCCCTAGTGCGTCGAAAGCCATAGCGTCGCGAATACTTTATCAATCAACATGATTCAAATTGGGAACGGTAGCTGAGATTAAGAGCTACAACATATCCAAGTTTCGCGACATTCCAACGGCTAGTTGTTTGTCGACGTCGTTTCTTGTGAAGACGACTTTTCTGTCCAGAATTTCGGATTTATATTTTGAGTAATTCTAGCTCCTAAGTTCACCTAGACTCCGTCCTTAATCCTAACAGGAGGCACGGCAGTGGGCAAGGGAGGAGGCACGGCAGTGGGCAAGGGAGGAGGCATGGCCGTGGGCAAGGGAGGAGGCACGGCCGTGGGCAAGGGAGGAGGCACGGCAGTGGGCAAGGGAGGAGGCACGGCAGTGGGCAAGGGAGGAGGCACGGCAGTGGGCAAGGGAGGAGGCACGGCAGTGGGCAAGGGAGGAGGCACGGCCGTGGGCAAGGGAGGAGGCACGGCAGTGGGCAAGGGAGGAGGCACGGCAGTGGGCAAGGGAGGAGGCACGGCAGTGGGCAAGGGAGAAGGCACGGCAGTGGGCAAGGGAGGAGGCACGGCAGTGGGCAAGGGAGGAGGCACGGCAGTGGGCGAGGGAGGAGGCACGGCAGTGGGCAAGGGAGGAGGCACGGCAGTGGGCAAGGGAGGAGGCACGGCAGTGGGCAAGGGAGGAGGCATGGCGGTGGGCAAGGGAGGAGGCATGGCGGTGGGCAAGGGAGGAGGCATGGCGGTGGGCAAGGGAGGAGGCATGGCCGTGGGCAAGGGAGGAGGCACGGCAGTGGGCAAGGGAGGAGGCACGGCAGTGGGCAAGGGAGGAGGCACGGCAGTGGGCAAGGGAGGAGGCACGGCAGTGGGCAAGGGAGGAGGCACGGCAGTGGGCAAGGGAGGAGGCACGGCAGTGGGCAAGGGAGAAGGCACGGCAGTGGGCAAGGGAGGAGGCACGGCAGTGGGCAAGGGAGGAGGCACGGCAGTGGGCGAGGGAGGAGGCACGGCAGTGGGCAAGGGAGGAGGCACGGCAGTGGGCAAGGGAGGAGTATCGTACAGCAGCAGCAACCTAGGGCGGAGCCTATAAAGCAGCCTGGAGAGGAGCCTAGAGTAGTATCCTAGATAGGAGCCTAGAGCAGAGCCTAGAGCAGCAGCCTAAAATTGCAGCAGCCATCAAAGGCCACTGGAATCATGATTGGTGTCAGTGGTGAAATCAAAGGGCATACTTTGGCCCTGGAGCAGATTGGGGAGGAGGAAGGCTAGACTACGAGGGCTGAGACTGAGTGCATATTAATGTTGCATTTAAACTTGTCATTGTAATATTAAGCTGTCATTGAACCTGAGTGTAGCTCCATTATATTATCCAGGGTTCTGTTCAACACCAATGGTTCCTAAACAAAACCAGCACACCCTCAAACCCACTCAAGGAGTTGTGGAAAATACATGGAAAAAACCAACAAGAGACATGATCATTCCAAGAAGGCTAAAGAAATCACCTATTCAAACCCGAATAGCCTTTGGGAAAAGCCAAGGTGGAGTTTGGGAGTATCTTCTTCATAAGTCTTCTGGAACGTGCTGTTGATCCTGAAATCATATGACGCTTCATTCAGAAAAAGACTTAGACTTTCTCCTAAAAGAGTTTCCAACCCAACATTTTAAAACCGTACGGAAAAAACTCCAGATTGGCTTCATTTGGCAGTTTTGTGGATGATTGTTTTTTGTGATGCACCACCTCTGATTTGATCTTAGTTCGTATTATCGTGTCTTCAGCTGGGACTTGTAGCTGGAGCCCAACCTTGCAATCAGTTTGGCTAGCGCCACTGCAGTCCATGCTTGCTTCTCTACATAGAGCTCTCCCCTTCCCTGCTCCCCCTGCTCCTGCTCTCCCTTCTAAGCTTCTCTCCCCTTCTAAGTTTCTTTTCTTCCTCAGGCTCTGCTCCCCCCCCCCCCCCATTCCTCGCCACATCCCTTCCTCCCCTCACCCATCCGCCCCTCCCCTCCCGTTGCCCTCCTCCCTCCTCCCCCTTCCCACGCCTTCTCAGGTCATTCTGAACAACACGTGTCAGCAGCGGGCCATCTCTCGCCTGACCATCAACATCGTCAGGAAGAACAGATTTCGCTCCTACGTCCTCATTCCGCGCTTGCAGTTCATTGGATATGGCAAAGATGAAAGAAACAGTCACGACAATTATCAATTCCGGGTCAGAGCTCTTCATGCCATGCCTTGCACATCAGCATTGTGTGAACAAATGAGCATCTTGGAGATGGGCGTGTGTCTTACTCCTTGCCAGGCTAACTTGCTTGGTCCTTCCTCCGTGCCGTGCCCTCCTTCCTCTGCTTGCTACTCCTTCTGCGTGTTTCCCCCCTGCTGCTCTCTCCTCTCTCCCTTTTAGTATTCCCCCATCCTCTCGACATTTCTCCCTTCCTCCAACCCTCCCGGTCCCCCTCTCTTTGTCCGCCTGTCCGTCCGTCTGTCCCTCCCTCCCTCCCTCCCTCCCACACTTCTTCTCTCCCTCACTTCTCTCTCACACTACCCTTCCCATCCTCCAACCTTACCCACCTCCACCTTATCATTGATTGCCATTCTGTCTCTCAACTCCACCATTCCAATTCCCCCTCGCAGGTACTCCCTCCCCTGGGTGCACCCAATGACTCGGTGATAATCCCTCCAGGTGCCATTCTCAAGTTCAACACTACTACACAGCTCTTGCACTTAAGCATCACTGTTATTGCAGCCACCTTCTCTCCTTAAGTCCTATCGTATTCCCTTGTATTGAACACCCCATGGAGGTAATAAAGAATACATTGAAATGTTGGGAGGGGATCTAATTAGGGTGGATTCCTTCTAAGTTGGATCCAACACGCGCAGTACAGGTGTTGCAAGTGCGGAAATCTGAATTCCGGTGCGGTTCAGTTAGGTAGCACGCGAAGCTGCATCCAACTTCGCAGGAATCCGCCCTTAGTGGCACGTTTGGTAAAAGTGTCAACTAACTAATGTATATCTTATGTTGGGCTGAGAAAAAGCCCTTAGGATCTTTTGCAGAGACTAAGTCCCAGCTTGTAGAGACTTGAGACTTGGGGTAGTGCAGCGGAAGTTGAGGCAGTTTGAACCCTTGTACTAGTATGTGAGAACAAGTGATTGATTAAGGGAACAAGCATACAGCAATATATAGAAGATAAGAAAGCAGTTGTAGAGTACAGTTACAGGAACGGTTTATCGAGTCGCACAGCGACTCGATTGCCGCTTCGGTTACCATCCATGATGCTGTAACGGTCAGTCGCAACCTCCAGTTGCGACCTTTCGCATTCTTTGTCCGCCCCCTCGTGTAACCTCCGTTGACTCTCGTGCTCCCTTGTAGTCTTCCTCGAGTGTAGTGTTACACTTCAGAAACGCTTAAGTTCTTTGAGATATTTCCAACACTCCCCTTCGTTTCTGGAGTGCTGTTATGTTCGGATCTGGTGACGTTTGTCTGTCCGGTCAGCAGCATGCAGTGGTCGAATTTTGTCTTCGTTAATTTCTTCGTCAAATAGTCTGCGGCCATTTCTGTCGTCGGGCAGTAACTGAGTTGAAGTCTCCCCTTCGCGATTTCATCTTTGACGAAGAAGTACCGCAGGGCGATGTGTTTGGTTCGGTTGGCGAAGCCGTCCTTGTTTGCGATTTTGATCGCAGATTTGTTGTCGCAGAAGAGTGAGAAGGCGGGCAGGGTCGTGATCTTCGCTTCCTCGAGTAACTCTCGCAGGTAGAGTCCTTCCTTGGTCGCAGTACAAAGGGCGATGTACTCTGCTTCAGCCGAGGATAGTGCGATTAACTCCTGCTTGCTCGACTGCCAGGAGATAGTTCCGATGGGTTCTAGTCGGTAGATGTAGCCCGTCCTAGATCGTCGATTTTCCCTGTCTCCCGCGTGGTCGGCGTCGACGTATCCGAGCAGTTGTACGGACGGTGTTGTCGCTTTGCTGTAGATAAGTCCGATCGTCGGCGTGGAGACGAAGTAGAGTAGTGCCCGGTTGAGTTCCTCGAGATCTTCCTGTTCCGGTTGCTTCAGATGCGTCGCTAGTTGACTCGCACTATAGGACAGGTCGGGTCGGCAGGTGACTGCTGCGAATAGTAGGCAACCGAGCTTCTGTTGATACTCCTGGATTTGCTTCGCGGGGAGTTTTGCGGAGGCGCTGTTGTTGTTTCCGTAGCGGTAGGGAGTCGGGACCGTAGTCGGCGTCAGTCCGAATTTCTTCGCGACAGTGCCTGCGTACTTTCCAGCGTGTAGGTAGAACGCCGAGTTGTCTTCGACGACATTTAGTCCCAAGTACTGGGTCACTGAGTCGGACACCGTGAGCGTCAGGTCCCCTTTCAGCTCCCCTTCAAACCAGGTGACGATGTCGGTGGTAGAACCGATGTAGAGCAGGTCGTCGACATAGACTATGAGCAGAATGTAATTTCTTCCCTTCTGCAGTCGGTACATGCCTTGGTCATGTGGTAACTGTAGGAATCCGATTTTTACGAGCCGGCCGTGAAGGTGCTGCTGCCAGAGCCGTGGGGCTTGCTTGATCCCGTAAAGGGATTTTTCCAGCTGGCATACTTTTGAAGGGTCGTCGATGAATCCGTGGGGTTGTTCGACGAAGATTTCGGCGTCCACAGGTGCGTACAAGAAGGCGTTTGCGACGTCGATTTGCCGTAGTGGTAGTTTCTTCGTGGCCGCGACGGCGAGTAGGATGCGCAGGGAGGTGTGACGGGAGACTGGGGCGAAGGTTTCTGTGTAGTCGGTTCCGTATCGTTGGTCGAAGCCTCGTACGACCCATCGCGCTTTAAAACGTTCGATGGAGCCGTCCGCGTTGGTCTTAATGCGGTACACCCATTTCCCCGAGAGAATGTTCCTCCCGTTGGTGTTGGTTGTCGGTACTAATTTCCATGTATTCCGGTCTTGGAGGGCTTTTAACTCTTTTTCCATTGCTTCCTTCCATTCCGCCTTATGTTCCCCCCCCAGAGCCTGCGACAGGGTCGATGGCTCGCGCGGAGAAGGCGGCGGCGGGTGCTGGACGGAGACCCATAGTCCTAGGATCTGCAGTCCCGTGGCTGTGTGTCGAGGGGAATTTTCATTCCCGGGATAAGCTGCTTCATCACCGTCTTCAGGATCGGGTAAGAAGTTTGGCCCGGTGCGTTCAGAAATATTCGAGTCGACGGGGTGTGGTGTAGCGTAGCCTTGGTCAGCGAAGTGGTAAAAGGTGTCGAGGTTGTTGCTATCGAGGGGATTATCTTCATCGAGTGGAACAGGTACGGAGCAGTAGGGGAGTGGTCCGGCAGCCTCCGAGGCTCCAGGGACGTCTTCTTCTGCTGCGTCAGCCTCGGCAGCATGGTCAGCGAAGGAGCGAAGGCCCGCGAAGCCGTCGGTGGGGTCGTCTGAGTTGGCAATGTTGTCCAGGTAATGCTGCAGCATCAGTCGCTCGTAGAAGATAACATCACGTGATGCCACCGTATTTTTGTCTTGTATGTCGAGAATCTTCCACGCGTGAAAATGTTTGGCGATGCCGAGGTGTAGTCCCCACCGAGCTCGTTGAGTGAAGCGTCCTGCTCGAGCTGTGTGGGGTCTGTATTGTACCATGCAGCCGAAAACTCGAAGTAATTTTGTGCTGCCCCTTTTTCCCGTCCACAGCAGGTGTGGTGATGCGTTGTTGGGGAGCGATGACGAGGACAACAGGTTGTGCAGGTGGACTGCATGTGTCATCGCGTCTGGCCACAGTGTGGTTGGCAGTCTCATCCCCTGAAGCAGTTTTCGCATTGTCGTCTGCAAGGTCCGATTCATGCGTTCTGCGACCCCCTGCTGTTGGTGAGCATAGGGTAGGGACACCAGGCGTCTGATTCCTCTTTCCGCCAGATAGGTCTTGAAGCGTTGTGACTGGTATTCCAGTGCACCGTCTGACTGGAAGCTCTTGAGTTTTGAGTCCTGATTCTCGTTCGGCGATGGGAAGCCATGTTGTGAAGGCTTCGAAGGCTTGATCGCGCGTCTTGAGATTGAAGTGCCATACATATCTGGTTGCGGCGTCGATGAACGTGATGACGTAGTTGAAGTCGGCTTCGGTGTCGTCTCGAGGCATGTTTAAAATGTCGCTGTAGACCTTTTCCATCGGAGCGTAAGTAGGTGCGCTTGGGTTGTGATGGGATGGGAAAGGTTGATGAGGAAGATCTGCTTCGGGGCATGTGAAGCACCGTGCGCGTGGTCGTCGAAGTTCTTGGCCGCTCGTCGTCAGAAGGGCGTTGCGTTCTAACACATCTGCTTGGATTGTTTGAAGTATCGTGCTGTTTGCAGGATGTCCGAGACGTTGGTGCCAGATGTCGTCGGGAGCGCGGTGACCGGGCGAGCGGTGGTAGATGTCGGCGTTGGAGAAGAACGCGACGACCGAGGCGGGACTTCGACAAGCTTCTCGTGTGGCGGGCATAAGTTGGTCTGCTTCGGTTGGCGGTCCTCGTGTCGCTGGTGGTGGTACTCGGCTGGGTCCTGCTGCCGATACTGCAGGTGATGGTTTTGTTGGGACACGTGCGGGTACTTGTCTTTCTTGTCTGATAACTGCTAATGCTCGTGTTCTCTCTGCTGCAGGTATGGTGTTGGAGTGCCAGAAGCCGTCACTGTCGAAGTCGGGATCAAGATCCGGCGGGTGAATCCAGGCGGCGAATGATACGATACCGTCGCTGTCGGCAGTGCCGCGGTCGGGGACAAAGTCCAACACGAATACGCCGGACTTCAGGAGGGCACGACCGATGAAGAGGCCGCCCTTCCCGTGGTAAAGTCGGAACTCGTTGGAGTAAGAGTCGCACTCCAGGTGAATCCCTTTGGCCATTAGTTGGCTTACGCTTAGTAGATTGTATCCCAGGTTGTCGACAATGAGCACTTTGTTGAGCTGCAGTATTACGTTTGTTTCCATTGATTGTAACTGAACCACGCCTTGTCTGTTTGTCTTCAGGTTTTCGTTGTTGGCGACGGTGATGACGACGTCGCGGTTGAGGCGTTTCTCCTGTTGCACGAAGCGTCCCGAGGAGCACATGTGTTGACCGCAGCAGCTGTCCAAGAACCAGGTGTTCCGCCCGGTGGGTTCGGCGTTGGCGACTGCAGCATATGTCGGATTGACTTGAAGGCTTTGTGAGCGCGGTGGCGGTAGCTCTTCTTCGTCTGGCGCGTAAGTGGGTGGTGAGCCGGGTGCACAGTTGTCGATGTGTACCATGCAGTTGATAATGTTTGGTGTCTGTTGTGCAGATGTTGAAGAGCGCCTTGGGGGACTTGCTTGGGTTGAAGCAACTTGTGGGTCTGCTGGACGGTAAACGCGAGGGCGGTTGCAGTTGACCTTGGAGTGCCCGGAAGTCTGACAGTTGTGGCAGAACGGCGGCACAAAGGTAGTCCCTCTGTTGTCGCGCTCTTGCTTGCTGCGTCGATTGTAGGTGTTGTCGTTTCTTTGTTGAGTGTAGAAGACTAACTGCTGCTGCTTCCTTGGTTGCCTTTCTTCGAACATGTCCATCTCCTGTTGTTCAGCGTGAAGCTCGGCGCAGAGGTGCATTTCCAAAATTCTTCCGTGGGCGCGAAGAAGTGATCGTGTGGTTCTCCATTCTGGCCCGAGCCCGGCGAGGACAAGTGTCACGAAGCTTTCTTCAGTGATTGTTCCTCCGCACCGAAGCAGGCGGTCGCGGAGAGTCTGGCATCGACTCATATATTGCATTGCCTTTTCCCCGGTCTTCATCTGTATTGTTGTCAGCTGTTGCATGAGTCTGCTTTGCGTCACGCTGTCGTTTGCTTGATAAAGGCACTTGAGATGATGCCATGCGAGTTCCGCGGAGTTCCCATAACTCCGATA